GTTCAGATCACATGGGCCAGAAAGCACATTGGTGGAGGTTGGTCTTGATTACATTAGCAGATGTGGGAGAACCAAGTCTATGTCGTTTGGGTAGAGAAAGTGAGCTGAGTGGTCAGCAAGCATAGGCCTGCATTTCTCTTTGGCCTTGACTGTTGAGGAGATGTGACTTCTTAAAGTTCTAGCTGCCTTGACTTCCTTCCTACGTTAGACTCTAATGTGAAACTGTGAGCTAAAATAAAGCCTTTTCCCCCCACAAGTTGCTTTTTGTCAGGGTATTTTATTATGTCAACAGAAAAAGAAAGTTAAAAAAAAGTCTTACTTTCAACCCTCTAACTCAGTTCTGTCTGTCAAGTCCCCACCCAGCACCTTTTCCAGGAAGCGTACCTTCCTGCCACCAACTCCCATACACTTTAGTAATGAAGATGACAAAGCCATTAAAGCCCACTGAGTACTTATAATACTGCTATGACATAGTATGTATAACACCCCCGTTTTCCAGGTAAGATACTGCCTCACAAACCGGCTATTAACTCACCCACACATGTATAATGGTCAAGGGGATTGCTGACAAGCAAACCCAGGCAGACAGGTTCCATTATTATGTTCTACACATCAGACTACGCCACCTCTATATGATTAAGAGTGAGATGTCAGCAGCTACTGTTGTTGATACAGTGCTTTTCACGGCCTTCCAAGCACCGATGCTCAATGTAATGCTGAAATCCAGTGTGTGCCTCTTACAAATACTGACTCTAGAGTATCGAGTGTGGAGTACAAATTATCAAACATCCCTGGAAAGAATAGGAAAAACTCTTTAACAATATTTTTGTTGAAACCTAATTTTTACAAAAAAAAAAATAGCTATAACTGGCACACCTAAAACATATTAGCATTTACCACCACTATGATAAGAAAAGTGTCTGCAAGACTAATGAAAACCCTTGGCAATTTGAATATTAGATGATACTAAATTACACTATAATTATTTCAAAGGTCAAGAATCTTACACACTTAGTCTTAAAACTCTCCACCTGGGTGATGCAATCAGAAAATTTAAGAATGTATGAAAATATTTAATTATACAAAACAGGAAGAAATCTACTAATTTAATAACCTTTAAGTAAAATGTGCTGTCTTCCCACATAAGTATTCTTTCCCTCTGCCGCAAAAAAAAAAAAGGAACATTTTAGAAGAATATATGAGGTATGTTAGTTTCAAGGAAGATTGAAACACCATGGTTTGAAATAAACCAACATATCGCGTACGAATACTTGGCAAACTCTAAGGCTAGAAGGCACCACTAAAAATACATTAAACAGAGTCAGCGCCTCCCACCGTTTTGGGGAATTCAACGTTTTAGGGAATCACAAGTTGGATAGCTGCTCCTAAAAGCTCCAGGGGAAGGGATGTAAGCAGGTGAATGCATACTGAGAATGAAACACTAGGCCTTCACCACAGCTGTATTGCCATTCACAATGAGGTGATGCTGGAAGGCCAAGTAGATGGCCTTTAGATTAGATTATTTAGTTCATTTAGATTAGATTATTTAGATTCTTATTTAGTTCAGATTATTTAGTCACTTGGTTCATCAGCTAGCTTTTTTTTGAGGTAGTATCATACAATGTAGAGCAAATTGGCCTTGAATTATGCCTGGTGTCCTCAGAGGCCAAAAGAGGGCATTGGATTCTCTAGAACTGGAGTTAGAGATAATTGTGAGCCCACATGTGGGTGCTGTGAACTGAGCCCAGGTCATACAGATCAGCAGCCAATGCTCTTAACTGCTGGCTCATCTCTCCAGCCTCCTGATTACATAACTTTAAAGGCAGCTTTGTCTTTAATACTTTGATTCCATTTTTACAGCCAAGATTCTTCAGACTCAAAACCAGCCCTCTTTGTGAAATATGAAGAAAGCTGAGACATTCCCAAAAGGTCAGGGCCACCGCAGAAATGGTTTTTGCTCTGCTGAAATTGTCCCTGGTTGCAGAAGGCCTACATTACATGCTGAAACAGTGGGTCTTGAATTGGTTTGGTTAGCTGTATGAATAAACATGGATGGAATTTGTTTTTTAAAGCAATTGCAATGGAATGTTTTCATGGATGAACTTAAAAAAAAAGAAGAAGACTGCCTCTGTTTCTTTGTTTGGCAGTTTCCTTTTTGATTTTGGCAGACTGCACCTTACTCTAATGTAGTCCTGGCTTGTCTAAAACTAGTTTTGTGGATCCTGTTTATGTCAGATTTGTGATACCCTTGCTACATTATAGATTTGCAATAGTTTGCTTCTGTTTCGTATTTACTTAAGCCTTCATCATGTATGCTTGTTCTACATGCAGCAACTAACAAGAAAGTACAAAAAAAACGTTATCTGAAAACTTCAAAAGCAGCTATGCATGCCCCCTTTACCATTCCATTCTCTTTTTGGTTGTGCTCTTTTTATATAGAGTATAAACAATATTGACCATTTGGGAGACATCTCTCTGGCTCAAATGAACGAACTGTTACGTTGCTAGTATACAGATTCATTACAAAGAAGAAGGGTTTTCACTGACCAAGTTTGGAAAACACTTATTTAGAAGGGGTGGGGGCACTGTTTGCACTAAGGTGAGGCCTGGACTTCAACCTGGTTGAGTGTGTGGAGTGTTGAGATAGAGCTGACAGCAGGCAAGAGGCAGGTCATCAGATTCTCTCAGCTGTGTTGTCTCACCTAGGTTGCACATGCCTCCTGTGTGCCGGAGACTGTCTACCTGCCTCATTCACAGGGACACCCCTTCCTTCCAGCCACAAAGTTCTGTGAGCTGCAGGCAACTGTCAATATACAAACGGGAAAGCAGGTACAGAGGGGTTCAGAGGAGCCACCACCAGCAACAGGTTCCAGGTGAAACCGAGCTTCCAGAGCAGATGTTCTGGTTCCTCAGCTTGACCACTCTAAGCTATCTGCCTCATTCAAATTCTCTGAGGTCAAATGAGGAGGTGCATGTCTGTAATCCTGAAGCAAAATTTAAAGGCATGACCTTAAATAAGAGTAACATTCATGAGGATATTTTAACATTGAGAATATATGAAATAGTATAATGAAACATTAATCTAGATTCAAATAAAAAAAAATTACGAAGTGTGCAACTGCCTAAACTCTAGAAGCTAAAAGTGAAGACAGACAGGACTATACGCCGTGTTCCGATGCCTTCCTTTATGCTCCATACTCCTCCTGTCCCCGACCTGATTGTAAATGCTGTTTTGTGAGAACTGTACCCTCTAGGGGACTCCCCATATCCAGGTATTTGTGGTCAATCCTAAAGAGACTGGAGAGGAGAGATGAAGAAAAAGAGGACAAAACAAGGAAATGGGAGAGAAAAGGTGGGAAAGAGAATGTTTGTTTCATTGCCTTTTCCCCTCCATGTTTCCTCCAACGCTGCATTCTTATATTCCAAATAAATTCCAACACAATTAGAAACAAGAATCACTGGAAAACTTCATAATCTATTTCCTGTTAGGCTGACAAGCCAGTGTTACAACTTTTTTAATATTAAAATAAACAAATATCAAATGGAAAACAAGGGCTTAAAAACACATGAGTAAATTCATATGTATAAAACAAGTAGAATTCAATTGAATTCAATTATTTCACCAATCACCTCGAAGTGAAGATCCTCTAAAGAAAATTGCATTGCTTTCCCAAGTCCTTGGAGAGCCAGGTTGGTTAACAGCCTACCCATACTTCAGAGATGACCATGCAGCTCACATGTCAAACTCATTTTCAAATGTCAATCATGTCCTTTTCAATCTAATTAGTTTGGAAAGTAGTGTCACTGACCTGGAACTATGCAGACCATTTATTATCATATCATTTGATCAACCTAACACTTTGCCTCAGTTGAGTTGAGGACACCTGTAGCCAAAATGTAATATCCTTTCTCCTCCTACTCATTACTGGTAACTCTCAATACAATTCCCTATTTACAGCTCAATTTATCACTGTAAGGACTCATGCCTAACTTTACAGAGGCATTCCACAGAATCTTCTTTAAGATTTCAAGGCAATTAAAATCGAAAGGTAAAGGAAATATACTCAGATAATGAAATGTATATATATGCATACATACATATTTTTATTAGTACCAAATATATAGGGCAGATTTTAGATAAGAAATTGAAAATAAAGAAAGGAGGAAGAACAGAAGACTGTGCTATGGGAGTAATTTGCAACCTTAATTAAACAGATTGAATTTTTTCCTTGCTTTAATATGACACAACAAACCATAGAGAGTCTGAAAGTTGTCATCATATTGGGTTTGTTTTACAATAAAAAAAAAAAAAAAAAAAAAAAAAAAACCTGCTCTGGGTTCATTGTATTTAGCCTGGTTTTAATTTGGCCATGGCAGGTGAGACAGGACTGAAGAAGAAATAATAGAGCATTGGCACGTGTATATGAGATAAAAGCGAAGTGCTGGGTGGGGCTAGAGTGGGTGTGTGCTATGACTACCTGCTGGCAGCCAGGGAGCTGGAAGATGGCTCACAGAGTAGACATCCATCACCTGGTCCATTCCCCAGCAAGCCCAGGGAAATTACACGATCTTTTCCCTATTTCAGCTTCGCATATTATGAATGAATTTGCAAGACAAAAATGCAGGCAGGTAAATCTTATCTCTTCTGTACAGAGTAACACAGTGTACCAAGGAGGGAAAAAAATACAGGCACTCTGATATACCCCAAAATGGAATATTCATATTTTTAACTGTGGCATTTAAAAAAAAATGTGTACCTGTTCTATTTAAAGTAATGACTATTCACTCTAGGATGGTAATCTAAAAGCAGAATGCTGGCTGTCAGATATTCCTTTTTATATCCTGGACTTTTATTGGAGGAATTTAAGTGGATTTTACCCAAATTCTGGCTTGTCTGATGGAAAGGCAAGAACGTTACTCGTGCTCTCTGGATCAATATACTACTGCTGAATAATTTTGCATGAGGTTTAAAAAAAGATACACACCTATCTCACACTTACCTTCTGGTGAGGAAGCTGACTTTTGCGAAAAGACAGCACTGACTTTACTCTTCTTACTGACATCATTGTTTACAGACAAGCTGGACTGGATTTTTCTATGCATTTTCTGAGAAACAGGAGCTGCCATCTTATGATTATCTGTGGATGAATGTTTGGCTCCGTGATGAATTCCATTCCCGTTGCTCAGACCTGTGTGGCCGCCATTCTTCATCTTGCATGTTTCCTCCTTGATGGGTTCCTGTGCTGAGATCTGCAGTTGAGGCAGGCGCTCAGGTTGGGCTAAGTTAAGGAACAAACAAAATCATCTAGTTAAACAAGAGAAACCTTTATTTTACAATAATGAAAATACATATTTGAAAACGTAAATTCAAAAATAGAGACTTGAGGTGTTGAGGTGTAACAAATAACGATAAAACTGAAGAGACGGGGCATATAAAGGAGGGAGAGAAAGAAGGAAAAGGGGAAAGTGGTAGGAGAGGAATGTTGGAGAAGTAGGGGAGAAAGGGAAAGAAGAAGGGAGGGAGAGAAGGATGGAGGGAGGAAGGAAGAACGAAAGGAAGGACGATAGAGGGATGGTAGGTAGGTCTGGAAAGAAAATAAAAGTTCAACAAAAATGATTTCAAACAAAGACACAAAATTAGAGGAATAAATTGAATTTTTTGGTAATTTAAAATAATGCTTAAGTTAAAAATCTGTTTTAAAAAAAAGTAATTCAACAGTGGTTCAGTGAAAGCTGCTCATTCTTGCTGTTCTCACTCCTAAGTGCTATACATGATCTCAGTACTAAGCACACCAATGACATTTTTGAAATGAAAGCAATAATGAATTCAGACACTCAAAGTTGGACAGGAATCAAACATAGTTTCCTTCAAAGAAATTCTAAGTCTGGAAGAAAATCGTTTATGTGTTTATTCTTTTAATTTCATTTTAAAGAAAACTTGGTTCAATGTGAATGTGACCTAGTGCCGCTGCCAGAAGCGAATGAGAGCGCTTCAGATGAACAGCTCCTACTTGAGTCTGGACCGAGCACAGGAGCCGCCTTCATCCCTCTTAGGCAACATCACACCAGAAGTCCCAACAGAAGAAATGACTGAGGACATTTAAGAAAAAAAAATGTCAGAGTTCTGGAAAGGAGAACACCCTATCGTGGGGTTGTGCACACTTAGGAATGAATGAGTACCCTAAGTTACTAAAGATTAAAGAAGACGTACTTAGGTTAAACTGTAGGAAACAAATCGTACTCCAGAAAACCATTGCCAATGGCAATCAATCAACAAATGAATAAGAACAAATTATCTTTTCACCATAGGGTGAAAAACAAAATCCCAAATCCACTCTTTAAAAACACCAAGAGATAGCCAGAGCTAAAGTACGAAGGATAGGCAGATGTAGTAACAGGTATCAAAAAAAATTAAAAAAAATAATAACAAAACAGTATTTAAAAGCATAATAGTCCAAAGAGTGGGCATAAGAATTTTAATTCTTTGGTTATGAGTCTTAGTATCTGCTTTGATACACTGCTAGGTAGAGTCTTTCAGAGGCCCTCTGTGGTAGGCTCCTGTCCTGTTACTTGTTTTCTTCTACATCCAATGTCCATCCCATTTGTCTTTCTAAGTGAGGATTGCTCATCTTACCCTGAGTCCTCTTTCTTGTTTATTTTCTTTAGGTGTATAGATTTCAGTATATTTATCCTATCTTATAGGTCTATATAAGTGAGTGTATACCATGTGTGTCTTTCTGCTTTTGGGATACTTCACTCAGGATGATCGTTTCTAGGTCCCACCATTTGCCTGCAAATTTCATGATTTCCTCGTTTTTAATTACTGAGTAGTATTCCATTGTGTAAAAAAACCATCGTCAGAGTGCAGGGAATCATATGAAAGAAGGGGGTATTAGTAAGACCTGGAGAGGACAGGAGCGCCTCAAGGACCAAATATACCAGGGCACAGGGGTCTTTCACGAGACTGTTTCTCCAACCAAGGACCATGTATGGATATAACCTAGAACCCCTGCTCGGATATAGCCCATGGTAGCTCAGTGTCCAAATGGGTTCTCTAATAAGGGGAACAGGGACTAATTCTGACATGAACTCAATGGCGAGCTCTTCCACTCCCTTCCCACCAAGGGAAGAGCAGCCTGGCTAGGCCACAGAAGAGGACATTGCAGCCAGTGCTGAGGAGACTTGATAAGCTAGGGTCAGATGGAGGGGGAGGAGGTTCTCCCCTATTAGTGGACTTGGAAAGGGGCAGGGAGAAGACCAGGGAGGGAGGGTGGGATTGGGAGGGAATGAGGGAGGAGGCTACGGCTGGGAAACAAAGTAAATAACCTGTGATTAATACAAAAAAATTAAAAAAAAAATGTAACTAAAAAAAAATAGAAGCTGCACCTTGAAAAAAAAAAAGAATTTTAATTCTATTACAGTAGCTTTCAGGGTTTTTGTTGTTGTTGTTTTGTTTTGTTTTGTTTTGTTTTTTATGGTATGTAAGAAGCTTACCCCAAAATAAGGAAGAGAAATAAAAATTATGAAAGAAAATTTAAGGAAGAAAACTGAGAGTTGATGGGACTTTAATTAGATAGTAAATGATACTACACAATTCCAGTGGCTACAGCACAGCGGCACTTGGCCATGCACAGACAAACACAATGGAGCAGCAGACTTCCAGATATGCACATACATAATCATGCCTATGCCATAAAGATGAGCCCAGACCATTCACAAGTCTGTGTATGAAAAGAAATTCTTTTTGTGGCAGCACATGCCTTTAACTGCAGCACTCAGGAGGCAAAGGTAAATTGGTCTTTTGAGTTCAAGGCCAGCGTGGTCTACAGAGTGAGATCCAGGACCGCTAGGGCTACACAGAGAAATTCTGTCTCAAAAAAACAAAGAAAGAAAAGAAAGAAAGGAAGGAAGGAAAGAAGGAAGGAAGGAAGGAAGGAAGGAAGGAAGGAAGGAAGGAAGGAAGGAAGGAAGGAAGGAAGGAAGGAGAAGAAATAGAAGAAAGAAAAGAAAATCTGTTTGGACTTAATGTGGAATGAGAGAATACTTAAATGGCATGATAGTAAGAGAGGCTAATGAATCTAATTCTTTAGAGAATGCATCACTGAAGAATAGGGTAAATGGTGACAATCTCTGTTGACCAGCATTTCTGGATAACTCCATGTGACCCCATGACCAATATCTACAACTCAGCCTTAAATAGGAGATCCATTTCTTAGGAATGTGCAATGATTTGATTTAGAAAATCATGTGCCCCTGTTTCTTGGAGCAACGAGAATGACATCCTAATGACTGCCATTGAACCCACAGCTAGTTATACATATGCATTTCAAAAGCTGTCAAGAAAGACAGTTAAACCTAATTTAGTGTTCTTTACAGAGCAATCTCTAGTAATCTCTCCAAATAAATGGAATGTTTGAGGTACTTCTTCTTCACAACTAACCATTCGGGCAGTCTGAGAGATTGGTTAAGTTGAAATGTAATTGTCCAGTACTCTGCAACTCTTCATCAATCAGTCAAAAACGTCTTCTCATACTAAGTCCAAGATAACCTGAGAATTACCGTATAATAGTTAAATAGTCTCATTAAATAAAAAATCCAATGGTAAAGGACTGTGTCCTGACTCCAAATTTAAACAATAAGAGATCTGACCTTTTTTCTTTTTTTTTTTCTGCTGATATAACTGACTAGGAAAATTATGGGTTACAGTTGAACTGATAGTTTAATGCATCCTTAATGATTTATCTACATTTCAATCTTCAAACCATATCTATTTCTGGGGGCAGTTAAATGATAGTACTTTTATTTTTTGTTTCACTGTCACCTAATTATTTTTCTGTGGTTTTGAATTACACTTATGTAACCAAATATTACCTCTTCACTTCAAATTTTTTTAAACATTAAAACATTTTTTTTAAGCAGAATCATTTTGCCCTATGTGTGTAGGACACCAAATCAAAACTGGATAAGCTTTTATCTTAGTCATCTCAATAGATAGGAAATGTAACTTCATTGACCGTTTTTCACGGGTCTGGTTTTAATCTTATGGTTAAGACCCAAATAAAAGTAAGCAGAAAACATGATTTTATTTTCAAATGAAGAATGAAAGTACCTTCGTGATTGTACCACAACTATTTGGTTTAAAACAGATTTCTTATTGTGTACAAATCATGTATAGCTGTAAAAAAAAAAAAAAGCATGCTAATATGGAGATGACACAATACTTCTTAAAACACAGGCAACGCCTGGGGACCCTCTCTCTGGCTTTAATGATGCGCTGTTCTCATTCAGCTGTCTTCCTTTTTTCAAATCTTTACATATGTGACAGCTCTCAAAAGTAGACCATAGACCATCTGGCATTTTCCGAGGTGTAACTTGTGCAAGTTCAGCTCTATTGGGAGCGCACAGCTATCCTCTGCCTGTGTTATAAAGGGACAATAGAATGTAGAACTTAGGGGTTGTTTTGAATTATTCATTTTTTTGCCTGTATATTCAAGAAATTTTTACAAACTCTGCATTTTGTACTACATAATCACATGCGTTAAAGGTACAAAGAAACTTTTTGACACCTCTTTTCTACAGAAGGCTGGCATTTTGTTTGATATGTGAACATTCAGCATCTGTTATATCACTCCAAACAGGACGGGTGCCGCTACAAAAGACCCCATTTTAAATTTACTCTCTATGAGCAAAAATGTATTCTCGATATTCAGAAACGAATGCAATACATGTCAAAATCTCAAATAGCAGCTATTAGAACACTCAGCATCCTCAAACCTGGAAAGCACTGGTCACCTGATCACAATATGGGTAGAGTTTTTTTTTTTTTAACCACAGTTCACACAATACAGCATGACTGTAATTTTAATATCCATGATGAATAGTTACAGATGTCTTTTAAAAATACTGTTCTTTCTAGGTTCAAATGTTTTCAATCTGGGAGGAAACCAATAGAATTAGATCTAGCAGTTTTCAATGGAAATAATAAACGTGGGGATAAATGAGTCAATAGCATGAACTTCTTTTGATAATTAAAAAAAAACTAGGTGATATTGTAGCTACTATGAAATATATTTGAAACTGCAGTTGCTGGAGTAGCATCAGAAAGCCACGTTTTACTCCAGCATATAATCTATTAGCACGAGCAAATCATCTTTCTTTGCTGGTCCCCACAAAAGTCGTATTTCATAAAATTACCAGAGTTTCCATTCACCTAGTTAATTTAAGCCATTGATGTATGCATAAAAATCACATTAAATCCAAAGTTTTCTAGAGATAGCTA